TATGCGGCGACTTAAAGTCATAACCTCAGATGTGGACTGATATTTAATCATCATTACCTCTCATATTTTTTCAAGTTTAGCTCCATCTTGTAGGTATTAACTGCACTTTTTGCGAGTAGCAATTTCGATTGGCAGAGGTTTATAATGATCGTTGTGAGATCCAGTTGGAAAAGAAAATTTATCAAAGGTTGCAACATACACTATTCGCAAAGATCTCGAAAATTCAGACAAGAATAAAAACTCAAGTGTGAATATATTTAGAATTATACAGGAAAAAGTCACTTCTTTTTTAACTCTAATTCCTTTTTTTTGCTCCCTTGATAAGCCAGATATGGGGATGTCGTCATAATAGGTATGGTCGAATTTTCTTAGTTTTGACAACATATATTTCAAGCTGTTGGTTAAAGCCGATCAAATATTTAGACTTAATGAAGGCGCCATAACAGTCTAATAGTATTTTTCGTATGTAAGTAGAATTTCGAGACTACCAGTAAATCAGTAATATAATAGTAGCTCAAAAGCACCTAACAGATTTGGCTACTTGGAGTATATGGAGATTGTAGAACCTTCAAATGTGAATTGCAATGAAGTCCAAACCCAATCCCAATCTCAGTCCATATATAGGTATAAAACAATTCAAGAAGCAGTCTAATAGATTGTTAGGATCACAAATAGTTCTTACTCATCTTTTAAAATCATTTCGTCCAAAAGTGTTGCCAGTATCCTATAATAATAATAATAGCACACTAAAGCCAAAAAAAAACAATTAAAAACCAAGGGATTCCAAATATGATGCTAATTAAGACATACCATATTCAGTGATTCTTTCATTATATAAGCTCCATAACCGGATTGATGTAAAATTACTTAGTAATATAGGCCATTCGGACAATTTAACTCCTTGAGGAAGTACTTATGAGCATGTTCAGGTAGAACAAATTAAGTGATTTGCCGGTTCCCAAACTTTTTCTAGTCGCGACGCCCTTTTTCAATTTAAGTTTTTCCATGGCGCCCTACCCTAAGTATGACTATTCGTAAGCAAGAGATAAAAATAAATAAAACTTCATTATTTTTTTTACTTTATTAACATTAAATTAATATTTAATAATTAATGTGATGGATGAGCCCGCAAATCACTGCACATTTTCTCAAATTGAAGCTTTTACAATATTTCGCGGCGCCCCTGAAAAGAGGACGCGGCGCACAGTTTGGAAATCACTGCCTTAAGTGTTTTATGACTGATAATGGCGTTTTCTCGTAGTAATACGAGTATACCTGATGATAGTAAAGAATTTCATTTAGCCTTGCCTCCTCAAAAGTTTTAACATCCAGACCGGACTGTCATTTCAACCTCATCTATCTCTAAAATTCTCTAGCGTTCGCATCGTGGCGGCAGATTAAAGTTCCGATACAGAGCAAAGATTGCTAGTGTGTCAGAGTAGATGTGAACTTTAAGCCAAACTACTCAAATCACACTCAGTTCGATGGTAAATGAGGCAAAAATGTATCTTCGTTTATAAATAGTATTCGATGCATTCACTATTTCGTTTAAGATGAAGGACAGATAGTTGAATTTTTAGCCATTGTGTGAGTAGGCCTTATGTTTTGAATGCATTTCACATAGTCTTGCCTCTCATAAGGTAGTCCCATCCATGGTGGACTGCAGTTTCAAGTACGCTGTATCGAAAATCCCTGGCCTTCCTTAGAATTAATGTCTGCTCCGTGACCCAAGGCCAATCATGGGAGTGGCGAGCGATTAATGCGTCGATTATATAAACCGCGCAACTTGGGTTCGAGTCCCTCTGGGAATGATGAGACTAAGAAGAGGTCGAACCTGTATTCCATTCCAAATGAGAATACCTTTTGGGAAGCAAGGCTATGTGGAATTCAATGTAAATGTGAGACCTATTCATTAAATTGTGGAAAAATTCAACTACGAGTCATCATCACCTTAAAGGAAATATGATTAATATATTTCATAAAAGTGTATTTTGCCATTACAATTGACGACAAAATACAAGTAGACTCCAAAAATGTACTACGGTGCCAACAGGGAAAAGGCAAGAGTATTAGGTTAAAAAACATCAGGTAAGCTGAGGTATAAAGTCCAAAATATAGCTAGTTAAGATACTGTACCTTAGTAAATAAAAAAATGGAAAATTATACAGACTATTGGCTAAGCACAAATACAAGCAGAAATCAGCTTATAAGAAAGAATATCTAGCTATAATATTAAATCTTATTCAAGATTAAGGATCGCTTACTTCTAGAATGATGTATTTAACCAGCTGGTAAGTGTGTAGTCGTAATCCTATAACCTCTTTTAGTCCATGGAAGAACATAATTCCTGCGACCCTAATGCAAAGGATAATTTGAGACAAGATAATTTGAGATCCTTTTTTTAATCACTTATCACCAACGCGTTGTAGTCCGATTATATGGATGGCACTGATGAAGCATATGGAAGGGTGTCCAATCAATCGTCTGATGCTGGTATAAAACGTGATAACAATGACAAGAGGCAACAAAGCCTGTACTTTTGAGAAAAGAAGACCAGATTACAATAACAAGGCCAAAACCTTGTAAACCCATCATTAATTCACATTTAATGAAGTAAATTGATGGAACAAACATTTGTGAGCAACTAAACTCAAGGATATTATTAACTCTGAGAGGAACAAAGAACGAATCAACTGAGTTTAAGGGACTTAATTAAGAAATTAATATGGCATAAGAACTGAGTCACTCTAGGTCACATAAGGTGATTATAAGACTGAGTGAATTTCCCCCCCAATGAGATTAATAGGTCTTACGATAACATTAAATTGCACTTAGTCTTGGCTTCCCAAAGCTTATAACATCCAGGATGGACCGAAATTTCAACCTCGTCTAGATCTCCTCAGCACCTCCAGCTGGATTTTATACCGGATCAGAAGAATTATGGCAATGATAATACTCCACTTCCACGGCCAAAGACGCCAGTTGGTGATATGACAGATTGATATTCAAAGCAAGCCAGGCTTCTCCCAACTCATATATGTAGTAGGAGTGCTGGTGATATCAAGATGAGATCAAAACGGTAACCCACCTTAGATAAGATTAGAAAAGGTAGGGTTAAATTAAATTAAATTTCATCGTGAGACCTACTCACTGTTAGCTCCTAAATCACTGTAAGCGACCTATGGCAACGAACGTCTTACTCAGGGATTATTGCTAGTCTCGAAACTTACTGGAATAAAAAGTGAATAAAGGATAGCCAATAAATCCACATATAGGACCGAGGCGAAAACAAGTTTAAATAGGAATCAGTACTTAAAATCTAAAGGGTAAAGATAATTAGCGTTACTATGAGAAGCTAACGAGCCACCAGCCTCCTTTGAAACGGAGTTGTAAATCAAAGCTTTCAATTAAGAACTAAAGCGCTCGCCTACACTACCAGTAGGTTCAAGTCCGATCAATGGTCAGATAGGGGAAGGATAACATCGCTACGATGATAGGAAGGATAGTTAAGTATATGCTGTTATAAAGCTGATTCTAAGGACTGTTAAAATATTAAAACAAAGCCAAAGTGAGTCTACAAAACAAACAAATACCATATCATCTTGGTCCCATAAGCAATCTAAGAATTAAGAAGATAGCTTGGAGAGTAAATGGCACATATAAAAATATGATTATTAATGTATTTCATCTACTTCATCGAGAAAATTGATACAACATACTTGCAGCTCGTAAGCCGAACCCTTGCCTCCACCAATGTCCCAGAGTATGACAACCGAATCGGAGCTCCCAGAGAGGAGACGCGAAGTAGCAACATCCCAAGCAAGATAGTTCACTGATTCACCGTGCCCCTGTAGCTCGCGAATCATTCGGCACTCCCCTCGGGCTCCATTTGAATTTAGGGAGAAACATAGGAGACTGATACGCCCACTGGTGTCGCCGACAAAAAGGTAGTTAGAGCCAGAATCATACCTTGATTTAAGAAGCATAGATCGTCAGGAAGGATTATTTTTAGTACCACTCAATATAAATAAAATACGCTAAAAATCATATAAAAACAAAGTTCAGTCAAAAGGATACAGCAGATTCCACATAAAGAGTATTATCGCACAAAATAACTAAATTGTGACTTAAGACTCACATTAATTAAGGACCCACTTAAAAGTGGCCAAAAATTTTTGCAATCGAGAAATCTTTTAGTGGATTAAATAAGGAAAAAAATGGATGAAAGAATAATAATTACACACGGTTTAAAGCGAATGTGCATATATCAATATTATGCAAAAATTGCTTCGTGTCAATATAGGAATGGAAACACGCAATGATGAGAGGGCAAATTAGATATGATTAACAATATAATAGGATAAGGATGGGCGGTACTGGTGTCAGTTTGGATAAAAAGTGAGTAAGGTACGAAATGGTAGGGTAAAGGTGAAAGATATTGTCAGGGATTTAGTGTAACGCTAAGGATTATCCTGGTTCAAAAAAACATCAGAAACCACACAAAATATGATTGTTCGATTAGAAACCCGTAATGCCGATCACCAGGGTGATATTCAGATTTTCGAATGATAAAAATAAATTTAAAGCAAGAGAACTACTAATGAGATAATATAATCAGGTGCATAAACATAAATAAACTTACTGTATGCATGTCCCAGGAAACTCGAGTAGATACTCTCCCAATTGACTTCCACTTTTTAGGTGATACCAAGCGACGGTGCGATCCTTTGAAGTAGAAACAAGCCACTCCATTTCAAGAGCGCACACTATTCCCGTGACACGTGCAACATGGGCTAGGTAATCCTTTATATGTTTTAAACTATTAGTATCATCAGCAAGTAAAAACTCTACGATTGTCCCATTGTCTAAACCAGCGTAAATTTTTTTCATTTCTGTGCAGTAGAATAAAGTTGTTACAGAGCCTAAGTATTTAAGCATAATTAGTGAAAATAAGTACTGGGGAGGAGCTCACAAACAGATGGCCAGAATCGTTTGCCATCTCTCCGTACCCATACTCTCAAAATTCTTACACATGCTAAGAACAATTAAGTGAATACCTGTCATCAGACCCCGTAATTATCGCATCTTTATTGAATGCAAATATTGCATCGTTAACATCACCTCCAAAGCCCTCAAGCTTGAAAAGAAGATCGGGCTTTCTGTTATCCGCTGAGGCCTCTGCAATGCTGGCCGCCATTATCTATAATAAAGTACACTCGCAATGAAATAGGAAGTTAAATATGCAAACGAATCAAGCGCGCATAAAAGAGTATTAAAATGAGCATACTCAAAATAAATAAAATAAGCAGCTACATTATTTTTAATTCTGTGTTACGCAAAATTTTAGTCTAATATGATGAATTATCGCGTTATAGTCTAATCCTTCTGAAGCAAATTCTTGAGAGCATATACAATTTTCTAATAATAAGTGCTAGCATTTACTTACAAAATATCGCACAATTACAACATATGGTTTTCTGAATATAAAAAACTTTTGAGACATAAAAATTTACTAACACGCAATCCTAAGTAGTTT